TTAATTCTTGATATTTTAATTTAATTCTTGATTTTATTTTCCTTCTATTTCTTCATCTTTCTTCCTCCCCTCTCACTCTAGTTTTGTTTTTATTTGCATATAGTCAGAACCACTCTCCTCGTATCTCTCCACAATCACACATATATCACTTTTAATTGTCACACACAAAATTTAAGAATCACATTTGATTAATTCCTACAACACCTTCCACAGGGAATTCAATATTTTTCTTTTCTATAACTTGATTGTGCACTTACAATCTCAACATATTCATAAAACACTACATCAAAAAGTCAGCATACAACATGGCGGCATGCTATGTATACTGGTGAATATGCAATATGTACAAAGAGAAATATTCTAGCAAAGAGATATACTATGAGATATATGCGAGGATATATAAATAACACAAGGGTAAACAATCTAAATTAGATAGTGAGTAATATAAGCAACAAGCAATATACAAAGGCGGTATAAGATATGAACATAAATATAAGTGCGCCAATGTAATCACAAACAAATGATATGTTCACGGAGTTCGGTCCCCACGACCTACGTCTCTGCTCCTCACCTCGAGGAGATCTCCACTATCACAACTGGGTTTTCTACGCTCACCCGAATAACGTTTACACCACACAATATCGGTTTTTAACGCTTACCGATCAACGTTCACAATCTCACAATGTAACTACAGTCCACACCCTCTAAGTGTTGGTTTCTAGCCCGTGTCCTTCCTCAAGTGCTCAGAATTACCACCTCTCTAGGCTTTACTACCGACCCCACTCTTCTTGGAAGCGACCCCGTCTCTCAACACACACTCCTCTCGGTGTACTAGTATAATACAAAATGAATCTCACAATAAGCATAATACAACAAATGATTATTCTCTAATATGGATGAGAATACAATGTAATATCACACTCAATGATACACTCCCCACAACTAAAATTATTATACTATGTATGAAAATACTAGAAGCTCAATGGTTGTGTGTGTAAGCAATGAGTAAATCAAAACTAAACTCAATTATGAAAAACTAGCTTGTAGAAATGATAATCAATAAATAATTATAAATAAAAGCTAGCATTAAGTTTAGGAAAACTTCTCTAGATGACACGAGAGAGAGAGAGAGAGATGAAGTAAAGCTCAACCACCAATGAATTGATCTCCACTTCCTCTTGTGAAAGTATCTTCACAAACCAAATTTGAAACAAAACTAAACAAAACTTAAACCCTTGTTAAACTTTCTTAAAACATTTTCTTGAGTACACTCAAAAGCTAGAGGATATGGAGTATATATAGGATCCCCAAAGAACCAAGAAAACCCAAGAGAAAAGTCCAAAAAACCAAAAAATAGCTCAGCCAAAAACTAGTCGTTACAGTGTTCTGAGTCGACTATGTACTGTTCTGAGTCGACTCATAAACTAGCCGTTTCAGGTAAAAAACATCTAAAGGGTCGACTTATATATTCATGGGTCAACTCATGCACTGTTTATGGGTCGACTCATGCATTTATGGGTCGACTCATCAGGTTTGAACAGTATCGGCAGATCTAGAAGTTTTGCGTAGTGGGATTTGTAAAATACATTAAAAATAGTAAATCAACTCCAACAATTATGAAGTTTTGAGAGACGTTTCTAAAAATGTAGATAAACATTTTAGAGAAAGAATTTTGGAAATATGACTTCCCATTTTTGAGAAATAAATATTTGAACACAGATATTCCAAATTCTAAAAACTAGTAAAACACTCGATTTTGTAAAATTAATTTGACATAGAAACTAAACTTCAAAAATGATAAAAGTTTGGGAAATGGTTATAAACATGTAATAAAACATGTTAGAAAAAGAATTTTTTAAATTGCATTTTTTACTTGTGAAAACTCATCTGTTTTGCAAAAACATGCACGAACATGAACTTGTTAAGAACTTGATTTTCACAAAATGAGTTCAAACAAATTTTAAAAACTTTCCAATAGATTTATAGACTTGATAAATGATATAAAATATTGTTATTAAGTCTATAATCCAAAAATACAATATATTTTGCAAACACGATAGAATATGAAACAAGTGAGTATGCATATGAACATGTATATTTGTTTCATATCTATATAGCTATATCAAAACAACTTATTTACATAAACAAACATGTATGTATATAAATATTAGTTTGGAAAAATTTTGTTTGTGAATAAAACGAAAAAATGGATAAACCAAGAAAACATGTGTGTGTATAATATTGAGCTTGAAGTATTAAACACGCATAATATAAAACCTATACTATATTACCCAATGAGCTTGAAGTATTAAACACGCATAATATAAAACCTATACTATATTACCCAAGCTATGATCTTGATCTTCAATAAGCTCTACTTGGTACAAAAACCTATACTATATTACCCAAGCTATGATCTTGATCTTCAATAAGCTCTACTTGGTACACTTGCGGATAAAGCTTGAGCTTGAATCTTTAACTTGAATTACAAGGCTTCACTCCACGATTCTGCCAACCTCCATTGGATATGATCGTCGTGGTATAATTCCATTCATCCTTCAACATGTTGTTTGTCTATAATAAATAGAAAACCATAAACACTAGACTAATAACATTAGTCGTAAATTATTTGTTAAACATCATTAAAACAAGAAGGCCAATAATCTTCCCTTTTTTGATGATGACAAACAACTTACAAAAGAGGTATATATGCATGAAAGAAATGAATATATAAATTAGAATATATCATGCATATAAATACTCATAATATTTCTCCCCCTTTGATAACATTAAAAAGGGGAAAACAAAAGAATGAAGAGAGCGAAAGCCCCCTCTACAAATAAGCATGGGTGAGTATAACAAAAAAAGATATATAGGGATTGCTCCCCCTATCAAAATGCCTTATAGAATATATACAATAAAGATCAAGGCAAATATATGTGAGCAAGCATAGATAAAAAATATGCTAAACACTACTCATATACAAAAAATACAATAAGGACACATAATGATATGTCATTATAAATAGGTGTCTCAAAATACAACAAAAAATATAAATAGATTTATGAAATCAAAAGAAGAGGAACATGAGAATCATGAAAAAAAAGTTTTCAAATGAAAACAAATCACTCAAATGAAATCATAAATGATTTAAGTCCAAGAACAATGTTTGATCAATAAAGAAAGCTTTCTTTGAAGAACTTGATCAAACCACATATAGAATGCATTATAAGGCACAATTGAAATTTGAATCATCTATTTGTGCTATCTAATGAATTCAAAAGAACAAATCAAAACAAAATTTTTATAGTTCAAAAATAAGATTACAAAACGTATAAGAATCATGAACTATGGAAAAAAATCATCTTTAAAAATATAAAACCAAATCATCATTAATTTTCACAAATGAGAGGCAACCACATCAAGCTCTTAAGCTTGTTTCAACCCATATAAATATTTTTAGCACCCGGTAAACAAGGTTTGGGAATAAACACCCAATAAAATCCGGGGGGTTATATAAACACAAACTTCTAATCAAAAGCGAAACTAATAATCAAGAAAATAAAGGAATTGATCAAATAAAAATTGTTTTCATATTAAAAGTTTTCAAAGCACATTTTACAAAACCAAGAAAAATAAAAATAAAAAAAACACTAAAATTCTTTGTTTAAAAATGATTTTAGCACCCAAGCAATCTTGGTGCTGAATTATTTAGGGACATGACCCCTATCAATAAAGCTCAAAGCCCTAGGGTAGGGATGTCAAATGGGTGGTTTTGGTTGGGTTTGGTTGGGTCATAAATGGGTGGTCACATTTATGAACATTTGACCATTTATAACTCATTTAGCATTTGCTAAATGGGTCGGTTCTCATCCACCCATTTACTAAATGGGTGGTTCATGGGTGACCCAACAACTCATTTAGTTACGATGCTTTTATATATATGTAAATTTTAGGGATCTACTTACAAACTTTCAGGGGGTTTTCTGTAAACTTGCAGGGAATTTTTGGTAAATTTTTAGGAGGGTTTCTATAAACTTTCAAGGGTTTTCTACAAACTTGCAGGGGTTTTTTGGTAAACTTTCACCAATAGTAAAATCAGTATTAATATTGCTAATAAAATAACCATTGTACCAGCATAATCACCAACTTTTAAATCGCTACCAATACCCGGTAGATAATACTTTTCTAGCCTGAAATCCAATTTCACAGGCACAAGCACAGGCAGACAAATTATCAACGAAAAAACATCAACCTCAAAAGCTTCCTCAGTTTAAAAAAAGACGTTCTACATATAACGAAAATCAAAATGTGAAGCGCTAAGATCCCAAGTTTTATACACAGCATTACGACTAGTAAACATTATATAAATCAACATATGCTGAAAGAGATTGGTCTTTTTAGTCCATTGTCTATCAAACAATAACCACTACAAGATAAGTTAAAATTGGATGAGAGTGAAAGGGGCGGTTGATCTTAGACTTTTCTTAAACTACCGATCGTTCTCAAACTCATGTATATGATCCAAAAGGTAGTTTGCTGTCATTTCTTCTCTCTTGTTGCAGGCAAAGAACACTTGCAGTATAAGAGCTCGAGCAAATCCCATGGCCTCAAGCTGCAACATCACATGCAATTTAAAAAAATTTAGCCTCTATATTAAGCATCCAATTCAACAACAATATGCTGCTACCACAATCAACACACACCTCCTATATAAGAAGAAAGAAGAAGAAGCATAAGAAGAAAATGGAATTGAGGCTAAACCAATTAGGTAAATGAATCTGAAACAGAAAAATAACAAAAACAATTACACAGAATATTTTGGAAGGTAATGAAGAAGATGATCTAAATGTTATATATTCCTCATAATTAACAAGAGCACCAACTTACATGTACATCACATGTTTGTAACCAAAAACGGTGAGTACTACAAACAGAATATGAAAGATAATTGGTCAAAAATAGAGAACATAAGCAGTAAGGCAATGCACAAGGAGCACAGAATACATACCAAAACCAATTACTGCAAGTATAAGCATCACTGCTGCTACCACAATCAACACACACCTCCTATATAAGTAGACAAAGTCATTAGTGCAATGACAGAACAAAGCCAGATCAAAAAATAACAAGGTATAGAGCCATACACTGTATCAATAACACTTCCAAAATATATGGTTATGACATTGTAAAATTTCTGTGATTAAAAGACTCGTGAATGGATGCAAAATGATATGGAAAGATGCAATATAAATTAGCAACATTAGCAAAAGGAAATGCAACATATATGCAAATCAAGTCCACTACCAAAATGGAGAGGTATGCACACACAAAAATTCACAGAAACCTTATCTCTAGCTCTACAAAGCAACGGTCAATAGTAGTATAATGCTTAAACATCAATAAAGATTAATACCTTAATAGATGACAAATCTTCTAACAAGCACTTCACCATCCTCCTTCAGATTCAAAATTTTGAATATCACTAAAATCATGCACCAACAGATGTCCTTCAATATCTTCCAAAGCTGCATTTAGATCATAGGATACAACTATGTTAGTCTAATATAACACATGTACACCATAAATTTACAGAAGGTAACAAGAAAAAGTAAGCAACTTACAAGGAACCTCCTCTAACCAAGAACCAAGCATAAATTTACAGAAGGTAACAAGAAAAAGTAAGCAACTTACAAGGAACCTCCTCTAACCAAGAACCAAGACATATTTGAGCTTCGGCATTTTCCGGAAGAAGACGATTGCGGTAGTTATCAAGCACACGACCAACTATGCTGAAAGCAGATTCAGAGGCCACTGAAGTAATAGGGATACTGAGTATATCACAAGCCATCATGGATAATTGAGGACGCTTTTCAGATTCTACTTTTCAATATTCAAGAACATTCAGATTCTCATTTTTCTTCTAAGAAAGTATCTTTTCATCTAAATACTCTTCTAATTCATACTTGGTCCTACTGACTGAAACTACTTGGCTCTCAAACTGTTCAAACTCAAGCATCTCATCATCACGAACATCTCCAAATGCCTCTTCCGAACTACTACCGGCCATGCATATATCATTTGATGCTCTCTCATATTCTTTGTAAAGAAGCTTTAACTTATCCAAGAGAGTCACTACATGAGTAGAACCAAGACCCACTTTTTGAAAACAAAACTCCACATATTTCACCTTATAATGGGGGTCTAAGATGCATGCAAAGGACAAAATCTTGCTATAACACTTCCAATATTTATTAAACTTTTCTCCATATCACTTGCCATGGATTTTATGTCTTCATCTTCACTTGTCATCTCTTCCTTTATGCATTTTTGTATCTTCCAAACTCCACCAAAATACAAGTTAGAAGTTAGGTATTTACTTCTAGAAAAAAGAGTGCACACTTCATAAAAAGGTTTCAAGAACTTTGCTATTTTTTTAGCCTTTACCCATTCTTCAGTTGATGGACAAAATGTAAAATTTGAATCGATTACCTTCAATTGCTCAAATGCCCGACGAAAAGGTAAAACACTCTCCAACATTAAAAAGGTGGAATTTCACCTATTGGACACATCTTGTTGAATTTTCTTTGCACTAACTGAACAGGTTTGTTCGATACACTCTGCAAATTTTTTCTTCCTTCCAGGAGGACTCTTTACATATTTAATGCATTCTCTAAACTTGGATAAAGATTTATCAATTATTTTTAAACCATCTTGTACAACAAGATTTAAAATGTGAGCACAACATTGTACATGTAAAAACTCACCATTGGAGACAAAATGCTCCTTTAAAGCAGGATGGTCTTTCAAAATCTTCATAAAAGCATCATTATATGATGCATTATCCAATGTAACAGTGAAAATTCTTTTTTCTATGCCCCACTCCTTCAGTAAATGAAATAGCTTCTCTACTAAAATTGTCCCACTATATGGGGTAAAACATGAAACAAAGCTAATATTTTGTTTTGCAAGATCCATTGCTCATCAATGTAATGTGCAGTAAGAGACATGTAGTAATCTAATGTTGAAGAGGTCCACAAGTCTGTAGTTAGACTGATTCTGCTAGGAACTAGCTTCAAAGTTTGTTTAAGAATTCTTTTTTCTTTCTGGTACAACATAAGCAAATCAGCTTTAGTGGTGTTCCTCGAGATATGCTTGACTTAAGGATTTAAAAATGTATGTAATTTGCGTATCCCTCGATGTTCCACAAAACAGAATGAATAACCATGCAATGCAATGACCCTAGCCAACATTTCTCTGTAATTATCTTGATCTAATGGCATGGTTTTCCACGATGAATCAACCTCATCTATATCTCGTTTTGGGCAAGAATGAATATGCCTCAACATATTTGTGGTACCATAACCACTAACATAAACTTGGTCACATTTCTTGCACTAAACTTTAGCTTTCCCATCACTATCAACAGGCAACTCAGTAAAATACTCCTAAACTTTTGATTTTGCTCTTCTTTTACGTATAGATATAGTTTCATTACCAGATTCACTACCATCATTGCATGCAGTAAATTCATTCAAAGACATAGTAGCTGAAACAAGAAAAATAACTTTTAAATATCAAAATAAATGTCAAATGTTAATAAAATAGCATCGTATATAATAAATAACTACAATAAGAAAAGAACAGTACCCAACAGAAGTGAAATCAACAATTTAGGAGATTACAATTGAACAATTTAGTAATTGTAACAATATTCATATATTAAAGCGATATTATTCGAAATGTTACTCTATATTTTTCCTCGTTTATCGTTGAGTATAATAGGGAATAATCATAGTAAGATAACAGATGTCATTTGATCAAACTAGGGGTTCAAACTCAGGATAGAAGTTAGCAGATAAAGTTTGCTCTATAAGAGTGAATTCTCACAACTTAGACCAGAAAAGATAGCATTTAGCTTTAAAGGGATGTGAAAAGTAGAAAATGCAATCTGGTCAAATTGACCAGAGAATAAGGAAAACTTTCAATTAGTTTACTTTTCATGGTTCTAATTATGTACATAATAGTAGAGGATCATCTTAAGAGCACATTATAGTATTGCCACATTAAATAAAAAAGGCGAAGAAAATGCAGTTTAGATGTCATTCAAAATGGACTATAGTTGATGAGAGACTTTCTTTTAGATCATACAGGAAAAAAACAATATTGTCACATTAAATAAAAAAGGCAAAGAAAATGCACTTTAGATGTCATTCAAAATGGATTATAGTTGATGAGAGACTTTCTTTTAGATCATACAGGAAAAAATCATTACTCAAAAGAGAACTATGCTAGAGCACAACATTAAGGGAAGGTTTTGTGAGAAAATGTAAAGAGAAAGCTCATGAACAACCTAGCATCCAAATACTTTGCTGTGTCAACTACAAGACCAATCAAAGAGGACAGGGCAAATAAATATTACTGCAAATATGTCAACATTAACTAGTTCATTAAGCAATAATAGAATGCCCAAACATGCCTGGTCTCTTCCAGCACTAAGCAAGGTCAGTTCATCTTGAGACACTGACAAAAAGAGATTGATTAGAATTTATCAGATTGTTACAATTCTCACAAAAAGAACTGGTTAGGGAGTGTTATAGACCTGGGATTCTTAAGTAGGACTGAGACAGTGGTTCAAGTTTGGGTTTATTCTGGACCTAGGACATTTCCTGGACTTCGGTTTGGGACTAGAGGTGACACAGTTCTATAGACCCTTTCTATGAAATGAAGTTGTTTATAATCTTACTATTATGAATATGCTAAATAGACTGAAATCAATATGGTATTTATTATCTAGTGCACAAAAGAAAATTATGTAGTCTACAAACAATGTTGGAGAATGTTTCATGTCAATAACTATGGTTTCTTAACAATGATGTAATCTTAAGGCCTTAGATGATAAAGTCACACAAAAAATTAAGATAATAAGAGAGAATGTGTAGAATTACAAAGAATATTATATTTAAAGGTGCAGAAATCATCTTAAATAGCACACAAGAGAGAATGTGTAGAATTACAAAGAATATTATATTTAAAGGTGCAGAAATCATCTTAAATAGCACACCAGAAGAACAAAGGATGATTTCAACATATAATTCAATTAGAAAACTATACCAAATCTTGTACAGTAAAGTCAATACGACAGAGAAAATCCCAAAATTGAAAGGATACAGGATTAAAAACCCCCAAAATTGAAAGAAGTTAAGATCAAGAAACCATACTAAGAATGTACCTCAAAATCCAGTGATTAGTTCGATTGAAGACCTGAATGTTGAAATTGCTCGATCAAAGGCCTGGATTTGAACAGGAGAGACGCTCGAACTAGACTCAAACCCTAATCATTGACTCCACAAGTTGAAGATTCGATTCTCTTGTTGATTGATAGGAACTAGGGCTCGAATTGCTCGATCGGAGAGAGATGAGGGGTGAAATCGAGCGCTTGAGAGGAGAGAGACCGAGAGACGGAGAGAGGAACTAGGGCTCGTGTGTTTGAGAAAGAGGGGAGAAAGAGAACGACGCGGATCAGATTGGGTTGGTTATGGCCGGGTCCGGTTATGAACTACTTAGACTATATGGAAACAATACCCACCCATTTAGGACCCGCTTTGTTAAATGGGTGGGTATAGTTAGACTATTTTGTGGGTGAGTATGGGTAGATTCTTAGGTTTGGGTCTACATTGCCAGCCCTACCCTAGGGTTATGAACCCTCTTGGGCGCATGTAGTGCACTAACATAGTCAAAACAATAATTAATCAAATGACCCTTCCGATTACAATATGTACAATGAAAGAGATCCATTTGTTTTTGTGGACCATTAGCTCATGCACGTGAACCATTTGCAAATAAAAATTGTCTTTTAGAAATATTTTGCAAATGAGAAACATCATTAAACAAAGGTGGTCTATTTGAGAGATTTGACAAGTTTGAATATTTTTTAAAGTCATAATAAAACTTCACCAAATGGACAAATCTACCACAAATATCACATTTAAACACATGTGGTCTACTAAAAACATTTTGGCAAACGTGATTTTCTTTTCATGTCAAAACAATACTTGGCCAAATGATCAAAACGACCACAATGATCACATCTATACACATGAGCATGCTTATGATGAACAATGCCAAATGATCAAAACGACCACAATGATCACATCTATACACATGAGCATGCTTATGATGAACAATGGGTGCATGTGTGTGTACATGTGATGAAGAAACTTGATGAGATGCACAAGAAGCATTGACATTTTTATGTTTGTGTGCATCATAACAAAATTTAGCTAAATGGCCTTTACGGCCGCAAATAGTGCACTTGTAAACTTTGCTATATATGTGTGCATAATGAGTGAATGATTTTAACTTAGACTTGGCACACATATCCATAAGCTCCTTATGATTATTAATGCATGTTTTCAAAGTTAAATCTAAAGATGAAATGCATTTATTCACAAGATTCAAAATCTAAAGATGAAATGCATTTATTCACAAGATTCAAATCTTCATTATTAGGCACATATGCATTTTTATTAGAAGTAGAACATTATTAGGCACATATGCATTTTTATTAGAAGTAGAACATAAATAGTCATTTATAAAAGAAGCAGTATCAATTTTAATGTTTTTTACTTCAAACTTGGCATTATCTCTTTCATTAGTTAAGCTAGAAATGGATGAGGTCAATTATTTATTTTTCAAATTTAACATATCATTGTTTTCGTTAAGCAAGGTATTTTCTTTTGTAATGATATCAAATTTGGAACCTAG